CATTAAGGGCAGTGTCTCCTCCATGATGCTCAGCTGTGGTCATGGGCAGGGCCACGCACAGCTCCTCCAGGATCACCCCAGCCTGTGCTCAGAGCTGTGGGCAGGAGACCCTGCTCTGCTCCCCCAGGCTCATCTCACTGTGTGGAAGCCCCTCACCCTGGTGCTGGCATTGATGGCCATTCCTCCAACTCGGCTGCTGGCTGGCACCGCTGGGCTCTGCCAGCCCCCGGGGCTGAGCTGTGCTGTGGCCAGTGCCCGTGTCCCCCTGGGGCAATGGCAGCGAGGGGGGCCCAGCCTCGTGGGGACAGGAATGGGGTGGGTGTGCCCACCCCACCCACTTCCTCATAGCAGCAGGAGTGTGGCCCAGCATCCTGTTCCCTTCCTGCCTCTGCAGCTCAGCTGTGGCAGCTTTGCAGAGCCACCTTCTGGGGGTCCAGGCTGCAGCACCAGGTCCCGCAGGGGAGCACGGCAGCCCAGTTCACCCCAGCACTGGCACTGGGAGCTGTCAGGGGTCCCGTGTCCCACGAAGGGCAGTCTCCCTGCTCCCCCACCCCACGCCCCAGCCCTTCAGTGGGGATTTCACCACCAGCACCAGCGTTTCCTCCCCCCTGAGACCCACTGGGGCAGGCGAGGGAGCGCCCGCCGGGGCAGTGCCTGGGCCCTGTGCCCAGGGGCACTTGCCCAGGAGCTTTGGGCAGGGTGCAGCCACCAGCCAGCACAGGAGTCCTTGTGTGAGCGTGAGAGGGTACCCGTTGCTGTGAGGCCGGGCAAGTCCCCAGGGATCCCCCAAAGCAGGTGTGGAGCAGCCCCCACACTGCCCAGCCCACTGGGACACCAGTGATAGAGCAGCCAGGGATGGGGCTCGGCCACCCAAGGCCTTCCTTCCCCCACACTCCCCTTATGTGAGCAGTGACCCCCCCATGACATCCCAGTTGTCACCCCAGTTACCATCCAGGCTGCAGTTTTCCCCCAGTGGAGTCACTGCAGGGCTGGGGACTGCGGGGGTCTTGCAGTGCCACCTGAGCCCTGTCTGGGCACCCACAGCCTCTGGGAGAGGCAGAGCTGAGGGAGGGAGGGGTTTCCCCAGCAGGGGAAGGGGGGCCTCTCCTGCTGAGGGCATCCCTGGAGCCCCGTTGCTGCAGGGCGGGGCAGGGGGCTCAGTGCCACAGGGCATCTCCCCCACAATCCTGGGGGGAATGTCATCTCTTGCCACCCCACACCAGGGGCCAGCACCACTCACCCCATCCCACTCTGGGCCCTGCAATCCTCCCGACCCCAGGCTGGGACTCCCTCCCACTCTCAGCACCCTCCGCCTCTCAATTGGCTTTGACCCCCAGCCCAGTCTGGCGCCCATGGCAGCGGGGAGTGGGACCAGGCCCCGGGCCGGGGCTGGGGCATGAGAGGAGCAGGCAGTGGGCCCAACATCACCCCTGCCCCGTCCCGCAGCCCCCCCCCGCTGAAGTGCACTTCCCGCACCCCTGAGCTTTTCACTTGTGCCGAAGCTGTTTGAATCCCACCCCCACTCCCACTCCCCGTTGTTTGTAAAACACCCGAACCGAGCAAATAAACTGTGTGAACAACCATCCTGCAGCCACCGACGGGTGGGAGGGGGCTGGGCTGGGGATGGGCATCCTGGGGATGGGAGGAGGAGGATGGAAGGTTAGGGACAGGGATGCTGGGGATGGGCCCTGCTGCCCCTTCGCTGTATGGGCAGGGGAAGTGGGGAGGAAGAGGGATGTGGGAACAGGGATGCTGGGAGGAAAGGGATCGGGGTGATGCTCTGGGCCTGCCCAGGTAAAGAGGACGTGGCAGCCCAGTTGCCTGGTTGTCCCGAGGGACAGTGGTGGGGTCAGGACCTCCCAGGCTCTGACGAGGCCTGTCTGTGTGCACATGGCCATGGGTCTCTGCACATCCCCACGCCGGTGTGATTGCTGCTGCCCAAGGCTTGGATTCCAGGGCTCTTTCCTGGAGCAGCTGGGCCCTGACCCTGCCCGGTGCCAGCCCAGGTGCCAGCACACACCCTGCGGCAGGCGGGGACCGCTCCTGGCTCCCTGGCATCACCTGTGGACTTTGGCTCAGCCCTGCGGTAAAACAGGCTCCACTCACCTGCCCGGAAACGCAGAACAGCCTGGCAGGCACACGGCACCGGCGTCCCCAGGCCAGGCAGCGCCAGCCCCGAGCAGGAACAGGGGCACCAAGGGGCTGGGCAAGGGTAAGTGGGACCCCCCAGCACCTGCAGCTGGGGTGAGCCGGGGCCAGGCACCAGCGCCGTGCTTGGGCCGGGAGGGGCTTCCTGGCAGGAGTGGGCTCCAATGCAGGGCAGAGGGGGTGAGGACAGGGACCTCCCGCCCCAGCCACCGGCACAGGGAAGGGCTGAACATCCCAGCACAGCATCACCTGCTCAGCTGTGATGCCCCATGCCAGGAGGGAGGGTGGCTCTGGGCACTGGCAATGCTGCCCACTCCGCTGGGATCCAGCAGCTGTGGCCATGGGCACCAAGGGCACCATGGTCACTGTGCCACTCTCCTGCTCTTGTCCTGGCAGGTGCCTGAGGTTTCCAGAGGTTTCCCAAGTGCAGGGCTCGTGTCCAGAGGGAAGGAGGGAGCTGCTCTGCTGCAAGGGGCTGGGGCTGGCAGTGCCGGGGCTGCTGCGGCAGCAAGAGCACCCGCCTGCGCAAACACGAGGTTATCGGTGACCGCAGGGGAGGCCCCGCGGTGTGACAGGAGAGCCCAGGCTGCTCCCGGCGTGGCTGCTCCCGGCGTGGCTGCTCCCAGCATGTTCACTCAGGTCCCTCTGCTGCACCCCCCAGGGCTAATGGCTGCCCTGGGGCACGTGGTGGGAGAAGAGCTGGACATCCAGGCCCTCCCTGCAGCTTCAGGGCTTCTCAGTGCCATAGCTGTGTCCACGGAGAGGCAGGAAGCACATGGAAGGTCTGTGGGTGCATTGCCACACCGCTGCACCTCTGCACTGGTGCATCAAGGCACAGGTGTGTTGGCACGTTGGTGCATTGGCACATGGGTGTGTTGGCACATTGGTCCACTGGTGCATCGGTGCATGCTGCAGATCAGAGCCAAGGGCAGCCTCCTGGGCATGGGACCAGCTGCAGCGGGGTAATGGAGGCACAGGGAGATCGGGGACAGAGCACTGAGCCCAACATGGTTCTTGGAATTCCCCCACAGACTCGTGCTGAGCTTATCAGGGCCCCACAGCCGCGCCACCCACGGCCCCCCCGTCCCCCACTGCTGCCACCCCGGCCACTCCCCAGCAGACACGGCTCAGCTGGGTGCCCTGTGTGGCCTCCTCGGGGCATGGGGACCCCCGCCCCGACGGCTTCCTGGACAGTAAGTGCAGCGTGGTCGGGGGTGAGGGCAGTGCCAGGTGCTGGGGGGCTGCCGTGTCCCCCAGCCTCGGAGGGACCGGTGCCCACCCAGGGACGGTGGCAGCGAGGGTGTGCAGGGAGGGCTGGTGCAGCCTGTGGGCGGGCAGAGGGACGTTGGCCACATGCCTCGCACGTTGGTCGGTCTGGGAGTGCTCGTGGCCACCGGCACAGAGCGGGAACAGGCCCTGCAGCTCTGCAGCCCTGCGCAGAACCCCTGGCACAGGCAGGCCCTGGAAAGCGCCCCAGATGTCTCCTTGCAGTGGGGGGGCCCAGGCCAGTCTGGCAGGTGCTGCAATGCCACCTGCTCTGGCCAGCACCTCTCGTGGTGCTTGGCTGGGCTGGGGACAGCCTGGCCCAGGGGGGATGACCGGGACCCCTAAACCCCGACCGTCCCTCAGCGCCGGACAGAGCCGAGCCAGGTGGATGGATTTGGGCGCAGCTCTGGGAGGGGCCGTTCCGCTCGAGTGGAGCAGCCCTGATAAGAGCCCAGCTGGCTTCCTCCTCCCTGCTCCCCTCCTGTGCCAGCTGCCAGTGCTCCCCGGGGGGGTGTCCCCTTCCAGCCAGGACCTCGACCACCCCAAACACGGTAAGAGGTGTGGTCAGGTGGTTTTCACTATCCAGGTCACCAGGGGCAATGAAAGAGCAAGACTGAATCACAGGTAGGGGAATTACAGGGAAATTTAGCAGAGCACAGCTGCAGGGGAGAGGCTGAGCCACCGGGGCTGGGCATGGGCAGCCAGGACGTCCCAGATGCCGCTGATGAGATCCAGGAAAGGCTTAAACAGCTCCTGACTGGAGCCCAACCCCACTTGCCCTGTGGGAGGACAGTGCATCCTAGGAGGGCTGGAGGTGAGCAGGGGAAGCTCAGTCACCAGTGTTGCTGCAGGAAGGAGCCATATCCAGAGTGCTCTCATCCTGGGGATGAGCTGGGATGCTCCAGATACGGGGAGCACCAGGCATCTGCCTCTGTCCTGGGGAGCCTCACCCTGAGCTGTGCTTGCAAGTACCACGGCAGCTCTGGGCTGTCCCTGCCATCACCATGGGCTTGCTCCCGTTTTGCCTCATGCTCCCAGCAGGCTGTGAGATCTCCTGAGCGGTGCCCGGGAGTGACACACCCTGACCTGCTGGGGCTCACGGAGCCCGGCCAGGAGTGGTGACGGGTGACAGCAAGGCTGTGGCTAAGCCTTGGCAAACAGCGGGACAGGATGTGCTGCTGGCTCTGGGCACGCCCGGCTTGTCCGTGGGTGACGTTGGTGTCCCCGGCGCTGGGGCCGGGATGGCATCTGAGGTGCGGTGAGAGCTGCAGCCTCATGGGGACCCACCTGTGCTGCCCCTCCCTGCCTGGCACCCGCTGTCCCAGCCGGCTCTGGCCCAGCCAGCGCTGGAGCATCAACCTCAAGGTCAGGGCCGTTCACTCCCGCCCTGCATGCCAGGGGGGTTAAAGTCCCCTCGTTTTATGAGCCATGAAACCACTTTTATGACCCAGTTGTTTCTACAGCTCGGCTGCTTGGAGGCTCCTTCCTGTAAATGCACGAGGAGATATTCCAGGCAGGGGTGGCCTCAGTGCCTCTATTGCCACCTCTCCCTGCTGGTGCCGCCGGGGGCTGGAGGTCCCTCCCTGCCCCGTGCACGTGGAGAGGCCCACGCGACACCAGAGGGTGTCTGTGCCCAGGGCGATGCCCAGCCGGACCGTGGCTGTGGTCTCGCTGCCACTGGTGGTGCCGCGAACCTGCGGCAGGTTTGGCTGTGCACCCTTGGAACGTGCCCAGGCTGGGGGACAGAGGTCGGAGGGGGATCTGGGCTCTGTGGCAATTCCTACTGGGAACGGTGCTTTGTGCTCTGCCTGCTCCTGCCCCAGACGGGGCAGGTTGGTGTCTGTCCCCAGCAAGGACAGTGGTACCAGGCTGGAAGAGGGGCTGTGCCCTGACCTCCGCTCCTCCTGTTGCTCTAAACGCCTGCTCTCCTCTCCTGCTTGCAGGGACAGCCAGGTCTGGCCCCTTGGCCTCTCCTGAGCCAGAAGCTCGTGGGTGACCTTGAAGCTGAGCAGCGGCCCCAGTCCGAAGACAGGTTGGCAGCGGGGTGGCTCTTCCCAGGAGATGGACAGAGTCACCAGACATCTGGTGTTCCAGCTCCCACAGGCCTCGCACAGGCCTGACTCCAGCGATGGGCACCAGACCGGCTCGCTGGCAGAGCTGAGGGCTGACAGTGACGACGATGTCTTTGGCTCCACTCAACACAGCACCCAGAGGGTAGAAAATGGCTATGGCTGGAAGAGGAGGTCCCAGTCACCCTCATATTTCCTGGAGGGTGGAAAAGATGTCTGGACCCCGTCCCCGGACAGAGAGTCCAAGCTGGAGGTGGTGAAGTCGGGAAGCCTGTACGACCTCAGGGCTTACAGGGGTGAGAGGAAACCCTCGAAGCTCTATGATGAGGAGGAACAGGACGTGTACAGGGTCCCTCCACCCAACATCTCACCCGAGAAAGCCAGGGAGCTTGAGGATGAGAGGAGGGAGGTCATCCGGAGCCAGGTGATGAGGAAGAGCTCCACCATTGCTGAGAGGTGGAGCTCCATGGATGAGCTGAGCTCCATCAACACTGGCATGGGCAGCCAGGGTGAAGGCAGGCATGCAGGCAGTGTCACCACCAGCTTTGCCATCAGCTTTGACAAACCTTCCCCAGGTAGGGCTGCGACACCTGTGGACCCTGACAATATCGACACAGAGCAGATCAACTTCTCCGCGGCTCGGCAGCAGTTTCTGATGCTAGAGAAGTCCAGCCCAGGCTCTTTTTTCAGCCCAGGGCAGCAGGCCATATCCCCTAAGCCAGAGTCAGTGACAAAAGTCTCCAGGGAAGAGTGGCATAGCCCTGAGATGGCCACGAAGGCTGTGAGAGGTTATGGTAGTGCCGGTCCATCAAGCCAGAGCAGGAGGGACAAGAGCGTTTACCAGGTTTACAATGTGTCCTACAAGACACCCGAGAAGGAGGAGGTTTCTACTCCCAGAAAAGCTCACATTGAAAGGTCATATCCCATTGTGAAAATGTCCAGCCTGACCAAAGCATTGTCCAGAGAGGACCTGGACTCCGGCTTGGGTGAGATGTATAACGAAGCCAACACAGGCTATGGCAGTGATGGAAGTGCCTCCAATGAGACCTTCAGTGGCCTCGTGGATCTGAGGGCTGGCAGCAACGGGCTGGGCAAGGAGACGAAGGTCAGCAGTGAGACGCCCATCGAGCGGGAGATCCGCATGGCGATGGAGAGGGAGGAGAACCTCTGGAAAGAGAGGGGTATCCAGCGGCTGACCTCCAGCAGCGAGCTGGTGGAGATCCAGACCAAGCCTGTCCTCGCCCTTCATGGCTCTCCCGGCCCAGGCAGGAAAGGGAAGGACAGAGGCCGTGCTTCCCTTTACGTCCAGAGGGAAATTGAGCAGGAAACCAAGCGAGAGGAAGATCTGAAGAGGCAAGGGAGGCTTCTGGGGGCGTATGACAGGGGGACGCATCAGGAGCTGGACGAGCGCAGGAGGGTGTTTGAGCAGGAGGAAGCCCCCCCGCAGAAGTCCATGGCCCCAAGGCAGGCAGAGGAGCGGAGGAGCTGGGTTAAGGAGTTTGTGGTGGAGCAGCCCTCGGGCCCCAGCCCCACGGAAGACACCAGGGACAGGAGAAGCAGTCCCAGCTACACAGCGAGCATCGCACACTTCCAGCTGTCCCAGCCGCGCTTCACCGCCAGCGAGAGGAGCCGGGAGAAGCCCTCGGTGTCCCAGCACGCTTCCGCCAGTGCCAGCAAATGGGGGAGCAAGGATTCCTGGGGAGGGAAGCTTCCCGGCTCCACCCCAAGCCCCACCGGCACTGCTGTCCTGCCCAGAGAGTACTTCTCCCTCTCCTTCTGGAAGCCGAAGGTCTCCTTCGCGGAGGACATGGGGACGCAGAGCCCGCTGCGGAGGGAGGACGGCCGGGAGGAGCAGTACCGGCTGCGGACCTGGAAGCCCCAGACGTCTGCACTGATTGAGGAGGAGATCCGGAGCGACCTGCAGAGGGAAGAGGAGCTGCAGGAGCAGCGGCGGCGGCTGATGAACAACTACAGAGACAGTGTTCCCCAGGAGGGCTCCCGCTCTCGGCACAGCTCCGGTAAGGGAGGAGAGGGGCAGAGTGGTAGAGCAACGATCTTGTGGGATGCCCATAAGGGCTCCTGTGCGCTGGTAGCAAGTTGTCCCAGGAGAACTTGATACCAACACACTGGAGTCAGCAGGAGAACTGCTGCTGAGGAGGAATAGGCTCCGCAGGAGCAGCATGGCTTTTGATTCGAGCTGCTCAGGGCTTGATGACTTTGTGTCACGTTACAGCAGCAAACAGGGCTGGAAGGGCCCAGCTCATGCACTTCCCCTCCTAGCTCCTGCAGTCCCTGGCTGGGGCCCAGACACAGGGCCCCAGCTGTGACCAAATCTGCCGGACCTGCTGCGGACGTGGGTCTGGGGCAGGGACCTGGCTCTCCAGAGGGTCTCCAGCCCCCGGGAGAGGTCCTGGAGTCCCTCACACCCCGATGCTTTCTTGCAAAGCTGCTTCAGGTGCCAGTGGCAGCTACTCGGTGTCTGGGTCTCCTGTCTCCACTCCTGCCTCACACCAGACGGGGATCCTGGGGCTGATGTCGTCCTTCACCCCACTGAGAATGGCCAGTTCCTCCCAGGGCAGCACGGAGACCCCCACCCCGGACTCGTCACGTTCCAGCCCCTGTGAAGAGAGGAGGAGGAGGGTGAAGGAGGATGGAAAGGTGAATGTGCCTACCTTGCCCTTTCTGGGCAGCATGTGGTTGGGGGGCTGGAGCCCAGGAGAAGACTGGTGGCTCTGGAGCTGGAGGTGGCTATTCTGGCTCCCACCTGGAGCTGGAGGTCCAGCTGTTTGGCTTGGTGGGAGACCCGGTGGTGGTGGCACCAGTGAGGGGCCGTGTGAGCTCCCCAGGGCTGCACATGCTGTTCAGGGCTGCCAGCATTGGGTGGGACTGGAGAGGAGCAGCAGCTTCCTCCTGGGGGGAACCTGGACTGAACCGTTCCCCCACCCCGGGGAGGGCACGACTGCGTGTGCCTCCCCTCCTCTGACCACCCCGGGGGCTGGATCCAGCCACCTCTGGATATTCCCCTGCCAGGCTGCCGTTATCTGATCCTGTCTTCCCCTTTCCACAGTACGCAGGCATAGAACCCATCGACAAGGTCAACACAGAGGTAAAGTCCTTCAGGAACGCGGGGGCTCTGCTCACGCTGCCCTGACACCCCCGTTCCCCCACGCTCCCCCCGGGTGGGCACTGCGCTGAGCAGAGCGGGCTGGGGGGCTGGCAGGGGGCAGCTCTGCAAAACAGATCGATTATAAAAATCCCTTCTTTACAAAGATCCTGCGCGTTCTGGTCTCTGCAGGTGGTGGAGAGCACCCGAGTGATCCGTCACAAGAGCGCCATGGCCCAGCGCTGGGAGGCCGGGCAGTACGTCCGCGACGAGGACTGAGGGACCCCTGGGCCGGGGGCTCACCCTGTTTGGGATCGACTGACTCGTGACCAAAACACCCAATCAGTTCCACCCCTGGCCACTGCAACAACTGGAGACATGTACCCTGCAAATCAATGTGGTTTTTTGTCACTGATAATCCTTCCATGCAATAGATCTGCTCCTTCCTCCCCCTCCCTGTGGGGGAACACTTTTTTTTATTTTCTTAAGAGAGGAAAAATTGGATCAGTACTTTTTAATCACTTCCACCTGGAGTCAGCCAGGTGAAATCATCCGGTAATTCACTTTGCCCCTTGGGAACTGTGTCTCTGGCTTACAAAAAAGCTGTTTTATTTCTCAGTGATTTCAGGTTTTTAGGTCCCACGAGGCCGGGCATCGCCTCAGGGATACCTGGACTGAGGCCTCTGGATCAGCATTGCCATGAGACTGGGGAATCAACACTGGCTTAGCTCCTGTGATCCATGGAGACGCAGCAATTGAATATAAATATATATATAAATGCTGTTTATTTTGCTAATTTATTAAAGAGTTGTTGCTCTCTTGTTCTTCCCAGCCTGTTCTGTCCACCTGCTCTGCTGGTTCTGCACTGGTGTTTTGGAAGAGACCCACGGTTGGGATGTGGGGCTGGGGCTGCTGGGAGCTGTGGCTGGGGGTCCCAATGGCTGCTGGGCTCGGGGAGCACCAAGGTCCCACTGGCTGGACCTGGGAGCACCCAGGGCTGGGGGAAGGGGTCCCTGCCTGGGGTGGGGATGGCACTGGGGGTTGGCATCGAGGGGGCTTTAAGGTCCTGTCTGACCCCAAACACACTGAAATGTCTGTGCCTGGCTGCCCCTGCTAGGAGGGTCCCTGCACAGACCCCACTGGGACTCCAGCCCCACTCTGTGGGTGCTGACTGGGGGAGTTCCCTGGTGGAGCCCCAGGGAGCTGGGAGGGGCCCGGGTGCAGTGACAGGTTGGAGGGGGCTGATTGTGCCACCAGGTATTTTTGGCAGGTGTGGGCCAAACTGATCAGCACAGGGGAGGAAAAAGCCAGACCAGTGGTGGTCTCAGAGCTGAGAGAAGCGTGGCCCCGTGGGGTGCAGAGCTGTGCCCACAGCTGGGTCACCTGGGCACTGGTGGGCCCTTTGGGATGGCTGTGCCATCGTGGGGCCTTCGTGATGCCCTCAGGGCTCAGCAGCATTAGGGGAACAGGCAGACGCCCTCCAGCACTTTGGACAAACTGAGTTTGTCTTTTTTTATGTCTCTTCAAACATCCCTAAGTTATCTGGTGGTGTGAAATTCCTCAAACAGGACCGATTCTGGCAAAGGGCTTGGCCCCCAAGGCCTTGTTCAGAAACCATGGAGGTGGCTCGTAGGGCTTCAAAGGGCCCAAACTCCCCCTAGGAGAGCTTTGCACCACCAGGCCAGGAGCAAGGGACACCCCAGGGAACAACATGGAACACGCTGGTGTTCCAGGGACACCCCAGGGAACAACATGGAACACGCTGGTGTTCCAGGGAGCCACCACCTGCTGTTCAGGGCACCTGCTGCAACCTGGCAGAAGAGACAGACAGGACTGAGCTAAAGGTTCTTTTATTTGGTTCTGTCAACAATGCAACCAACAACGTGACTGGAATGTAACAGGCACTGAACAGCCCTGAGCAGAGCTCGGCACATCTCCCAGGGCCTTTGGGGAGCTGCATTTTGCACTCCAGGGAAACCACTTACCATAAAACCTTTCAACACTATCAGACACTTTAAATAACTTCTTAAAACAGCTACAACTTCTGCAATCTATGAATCTTTCACTAAGGGAAATGACCTGAACCTTGTTGGAAACAATCCCATGAGATGGGGATCAGCAACGTCGTCGTTCTCCTCGTGTTGCTCATCCTTCCCTGCAGGCCTGTGCCCCGGGCTGAGCTGTGTCAGCCCCCAAAATGAAGGTGCAGTTGACACTCCTGGTTGGGCTGTGCCACCCTCAAGACCTCTATGTCAGCACTGGTGGTTTCTCATGGCACTGACTGTACAGTAGAACATTAACTTGTTTGGCAAATGTGAAACCGAAGATTCTCATTAACTCACTGAATTATCAATTCCAATAACAGAAAGAACAACAGAGGAATTTACCTTGAAGCTGAGGCGCTGCAGATGTGTAGGTGCCTTCAGTGCCAAGGCAAAGACCAGCAGAAGGATGTTTGCCCTCAGCCTACACCAAATATCACGACAGGATTCTGTTTCAGAGGAGCCTTGGAGTGGTTTAAGGGGGAAAGCTGAGGGGACACCTCTATTGCCTGGGCTTCCTTACAGCTCCTCTGATTTGCTGGGTAATAACTTTCAAGATCTTTTCCATTTTGGCTCTTGTCAGTGGCTTGCTGAAGTACCACACCTCGTCCCAGCTGGAGCACTGTGGCCTGGGAGCCAGGTAAAGTGCATCGCTGTCGTTCAGGCTGTCCGGTGGCCTCCTCCTGGCGTACTCCTTGTAACTGGTGACTGGACAGTTCTCTGGATCAGCAGGCTTGGCAAAGAGCCGTGGGCTTGACTCCCCTTTGTTTCCTTCTGGGCTCAGATCATCCTTCCACTCCAAGTACTCCCCCTCTCCCTCACTCTTCCTCAGCACCAGCTGTCCCCAGTAGAGGTGGTGGCTCTGGCGGTGGGTGCTTGCCCCAAACCCCCTAACAATGCTGGTGAACATGAGGTGCAGAAAGCCCTGAGGGTCCCTCCTGTTTAAAATTCCCTTCTTACGAAGGTTTTCCACATCTTCATCTGTCAGGTTCTCCAAAATACTCCACTCTTCCTCCCTCTTCTTTTGGAACAGGCACTGATGCTTTAGTTTCCAAGCTTCCTGAGAGGCCCTGAACTCCAGCCCTCTCACCACGTCGTACTGGTAGCTGTGCTCCTTGAGGTACCGCTCGATGTTGCGCTGCAAGAAGCCAAAGGAATGGGCAGAAAAATCCGTGCCATCCTGTCTCTTGGTGGAGCTGAAGAATGAGACCAGGTAGCGGTCGAGGTCTTCAGGTGGCAGCGTGTGGATCTCACGTGTCTCAGAGGGGTGGTGCAACATCAGCCAGTCTTTGAACACCTTTATATCACTAGTGGGAGAGTTTTTCTTTTTCTCCTGCTTCTGCAGAACATCTGAAAGTTAAGACACAGCTTTGTAGACAGTGAGAATTCACAAAGATCAGTAAAACACGAGGAGATGCAGGATGGTGTCCACCTCCCTTCTGAAAGCCATTCGGGGCCAGGACTCTCTCAAACCCCCTCCCCTAGAGCTGTGGATCAGTTTTGTGTTCTCCACAACCAGTGGCACCTGACAGCACCCACCTCTCCAGGGAGGGCTGGGCTCCTTCCTGCTCCCTCTCTGTTGGCTGCTGGCCCTCCTCGCTGCCAGACAGGGAGACTTCCCTGTCATCATGAAATAAAAGCATGAACCAAAAGTCGAGGAGGATGGTGAGGGAAAACAAACAGGTGAGTAAACGTGTATTATTATTTTGTTTAAAGGATTGCCAGGATTCCAGTTGGGCTCTCTCTTAAGTTGCCATGGCAATACCACATCTACCTAGTTCAATGTAGCGTGAGAAATTAATTCTTTGGATTGATGGAAAGCTCCATCTGCTTGCCTGTGACTTGTCCAGGACTGAGGAGGGGGAGATGGGAAAGGGCTCGTGAGCCAACATCTATAGGTTCCCCTTTTTGTACCAGGTTCTTTTGTACAGGCTTAGTTGTCATCCTGACATATTGTGGATGGATTAGGTGGATTCCTCTGATCCCTGTCCCACTGGTTTGGGTTTCTGGCCTGTTTTGTACTGACTGCTCTGGGTGCAGAGAGCAATGGCTCGTGAATCAATAATGCCAAGGCCTCTTCTGAGCCATGAGCCAGCTACCTTGGCAGGAACAGACACTACACAGACATTCCCAGGTGAATGTCCAGTCCCTTCAGATGACACTTGATGTCAGTTATGAAAATAGTCAAATAATGCTCCCAAAACCCAACTGTGGCAGTTTGTGTGGTTGTGGCTCCACAAGGAACACGAGTGTCTGTAACCCCAAGCCTGTTCAGGACCAGCACCAACAATGCAAGCACATCACAGGCAGACCCCAAATGCTGCCTCAGCACCCTCTGCCCTTCCCAAGCATGTACCCAGGCCCCCACGCTGCAGGACAGTGCATATGAAAACCTTCATTCTTGAAAGGACTAAAGCAATGCATGGAGCTCCTGGCATTTCCCATGCAGGGCTGACACTCTGCCACTGCCAGCGCTGGGATCTTTTGTCGCTGGCTTTGGTGCAGGCAGGGCTTCAGCCACAATTTCTCTGGGTTAAGTTACTTCCCCTTGTTTCCTTCTCTCGAGACCCGAGTTCCCATCTCTGGCTCCAGTTTCCCATAGGGACTGTCTCAAGTATAGCCAATGTTCCATGTGGGGATACTACATAAAATGGAAGACCAAAGTGTTCAACACTGGGATGCTGGGGCTGGGCTGCAGCCAAGAACACCTTTGGGTAACTCAGGGAAGGGCATTTCCTACAGAAGTGCTAATTGCTTCAGGCAGGGATCTTTTTAGTCCCTTTGAGTAGAAACAAGAGTGCCCCAAATCTGAGGGATTTACTTAGATGCTGCAGAATAGATCTTGACAATGATGTGAACTCGCCCTCCTTTGCTATTTTGGGAAAGTGATTAAAAGAACACCCCCACACCCCTGCAGGCACAGAACTCTGGGCTTTCTTACCTCTGTTTGAGGCTGCAGGTGGATGGCTCTCTGGACTCTGGAGGGCTGAAGGATGAGGTGCCTGCCTGGATCCCGACGGCTCGCTCTCCTCTGCCAAATTCTCAGTGCCATTCCTGCTGGAGTCCACTCCTAGCATGCCATGCTTTGGAGGGCTCAGCTGGAGCTGCTGCTGGACATCAGCAGTGGCTTGGAACTTAAAGAATGTCACCAAGGGGCATGACTCAAGCTGGGCCTTCGCTTCGGTGCTGGAGACAGGAAGAGGTTTGAAACACACCTTTGGTGCTGCTGACCCCGGGGGGTTCCTCGCTCTGGAAGTTTCAGCCGTGGGCCCTGCAGCAGTGAAATGACCCAACCCCAGGATGTTCCTGCCCGGGTCCTCCAGGTTGCTGACAGGGGACTGCAGAACATAGGCACGGGCTAGAGGTGGCCCTGCCATGCTGGCAAAGGCAGATCTTTGAGGGGCTGTTGGCTGGTGAAATGCCAACTCCTGGCATTGGAGCATCTGCAAATCCACCTGAGTAGGTGGCTCTGACACATCATTCTGGTTGATTCTGTCTCCTTGGTTGTCTTTAACTGCCACACACTGCTCTTCGTCAGAGATGATCAGTACATCATCATCATCTTTGAGCTTCACGTTCTGACCACCAGTTTGGAGCCCAGCGACTGCCAAGTGCTGCTCTGCTGCAGAGCAAGATGTCATCAGTTCCCTGGTATTTTGACTCCCTCTGGGTGATGGCTTCTTATGCCTTGCATAGGCTGTGTCAGCCTTCTGCTGAGTGACTCCTGGGGATCTGCCACATGACCCTGTGCTCCCAACATCTGCTTGACCCCTCTCAAAAGATGATGGGGTCAGCCTGAGCCTCTTTTCCCCAAAGCTATCTTCCCTTGCTGAAGCCTCGGAAAACTGGGGCCTCCTTTTCCTTCCTACAGCCTCAGTCCCTTCTCTGTCTCTGTCATGTAACTTCTCATACTGCCAGTGATAGGCATGTCCGACTCTGCACATCCACAGCATAGCATTGTCCCTGCTCAGGTGACCCGTGTTCTGTATAAATTCCAGGGCTGGGATCTCGTTGCATATGGTCCCGTGACTGTGTGCCCACATCACAAGTTTGGAGAGACCTGTGGGAAGGGAACTGGCTTTGCTGCACTCTCCATCACCAGAGCTCTTGTTCTGCAAAGGCATGTTGGAAAGAACATGAGTGAGAGGGGCTGTGCAGAGAAGAGCAGTCCTGGGGCTGTTTCTGTCCCTCCCCAATAGAGTGATAATTGTAGATCGGCAATTTCCCCTCATGATTCCTTTTACAAACCAATTTGTTCATTCTTTCTGTCTGTGGGATCATTTATGCCATAACAGAACACTCACCATGCTGCTGCTTTCTGTGTCGCTGAGCCTTCTCTCAGGTGGAGATCAGTAAGTGACTCTTTGAATGGCCTTTCTCTCTCAGCACCTGAAATAATTATCACACGTTTGTGTTTATATACATGTATGTATGTATATATATGTGTGTGTATATATATATATTAAAAAAATCCTGACCAGCAGAGGCAACTTAACTTCTCCAAGCTCAGCCCAGAACAAAGACCACTTCAGGCCCGTGCCCTCCCTGGGCTGAGCTCCCTGGGTTCCCAGGAACTCCAAACACAAAACCTGACTGGAGTAAATATTTGCAGGATCAGCCTCTGCAGCACCAACAAAACAGAAACGAAATATAAACACTGAAAATAGGATTTTACAAACTGAACTCTGCGAGTTGTTCCTTCAGCACTCTGTGGTTGGCAAGCTCTGTGTCTCTGAGTGCTGAACTGCAGAGGGAGAACCAGGAATAGCGAAGCTGGTTCAATCTGACATTCTCTGACTGTGCAAACAGTAACAAGAGGCGGTTTCCCAACTGAAGGATTTGCACATTTAACTCGTATTTATACTAGAGACTAAATCTGAAACTCTCCCATCTATTTGGAAGGCTCCATGTAGCAGCCTGGACATTCCTCCCTGTCTCTGTGTCACAGGACCCTCGGCACCGCAGCAGCCAGGACCCTCCGTGACTGACACCGTGTCACCCTCCGTGACTGACACCGTGTCACCCTCCATAACTGACACCATGTCACCCTCCATAACTGACACCGTGTCACCCTCTGTGACTGACACCGTGTCACCCTCCATAACTGACACCGTGTCACCCTCTGTGACTGACACCATGTCACCCTCCATAACTGACACCGTGTCACCCTCCATGACTGACACCGTGTCACCCTCCATAACTGACACCATGTCACCCTCCGTGACTGACACCGTGTCACCCTCCGTGACTGACACCATGTCACCCTCCGTGACTGACACCATATCACCCTCTGTGACTGACACCGTGTCACCCTCCATAACTGACACCGTGTCACCCTCCATAACTGACACTGTGTCACCCTCCGTGACTGACACCGTGTCACCCTCCATAACTGACACCATGTCACCCTCTGTGACTGACACCGTGCGCTCGCAGGCCGGAGTGGAGCCTGTGCTCCAGGCGTCTCGGGCCATGATTAATTAAAAGCTTTGCAATTAGTCGAGGTAAAAGAAGCCAGGCTGAAAACACTGGACACAGGAACCATGTCTAAACTGATTCTTGGAGCAGTTCTGGCCTAAATGTGACACAGCTCTTGGTGAGAACAGGCCCTGGCTGGCGGTCAGTGAGCACAGCCCAGCACACCTGAGCACCCCCTGCCAGGTACGGCAGCTCCAGCCCCGGGGCTCCTGCTCTCCCAGTGAGCTGTGGAACACGGGAGAAGCCCATCCCATCTGACAGCTGCAGGGCTGCTCTGTAATCTGTGAACGCGGTGCTTGTCCGCAGGGATTTATCTCAGGAGTGTGGGTTACACTGAAGGCAGACCTGGCAGCACCGGGGCAGGAACGGCTGTGCCGCAGGAGTGCCGGCCCCAGGGCAGAGGCTGTGCCCGGCGTCCTTGGTGCCTGGGGCCTTCAGTGCCCGCCCACCACCAGCCCAACCCACCGGCTCTCCTGTCCAAAGGGAACAGGTCACACTTCTCGCAGGTGCCCGACAGGGAATGACTGGGAAGCACAGGAACTGCTCCCTTTGGGGTGAGCCTGCCTGCAGCACAACAGCACAGCTCTCTTCTGCACTTAGGCTCCATCAATCCATGTGTTCCTGCCTAATGATAGCACGGATAATTTTAGCCTGAATGCTTGCTTGTTGTGTGTGCCAGCGTGTGGAATGTGCAAAGCCAGGATTTACAGAGCATTTTTTTACAGAAATCTACTGCTGCTTTAACCAAAAATCAGACAATAAAAGCCTGTTTGGAAGCAGCAAATGCACTTTGAGCTCCTGACGTTAATCAAGGCCTTGGATGGATCTACTGTCCCCGTGAGCTCACGCCTGATGGATGCCAGCAAACAGGGCAGGGAGTCACCTCCAACAGCTGTTTTGGCTGTCCTGACCCCTCACAGAAAGTGGCTCTGCCCAAGCTTTTCCCCAGAGGTGTTTGACCTGTTCCCACCTCCCCAGGCCAGGGAGCTCACAGACTGTGCCTGCTGAGCCCCCAAAAGCTGCACCTAAACTCGAGGGAGAACTGTTTTCCCTCCTGAAGTCAAAGAGAGTTTTATTTTTGAGTTCAGCCTGTGCAATTCCCTGAAAGGACTGAGCCACTCGGACAGACTCAAAGGAACTTCCATGCCAATAATCCAATGCCTTCAGTCAGTGTGGGAAAAGGTAACAGGAACGGAAGCTCCACATGGTTATAAGGCCACAAAATTACTGACTTGGCAGATGAACATCTTGATCCCTATCACAGGCCTCTGCAAGTGGAATGCTTTTATCTTTCCTTATCTCCAGACACATGTCTTCCTCTTCCTGATGGCTCGGGAAAAAAACCCTTTTTTTCTCTTGCTATTTAGTTCCCAGCACAGATTCTGGTGCTCAGCTTCAGACCCTTCAGCCCACTGCAGCCCCCACACTTCCAGCAGCTGGGAGTGCCCCAAAGGAATGGCAAGTGGAATTGGCCTGGATTCACAGTCACAGCTGAGTGAGAAAAATGACCCATCCTTCCCCCAAAGGCTGAACTAGCATACTTATCTTCTCTTTAAATAATAAAAATCCATCTTGATCACTGCCACAGTTTTTACCTGCTTCCAACAACCCTGGGATGCCTGTGGGGAGGGAGTTTTGTTTTGGAGCCTTGTGCCTGGTTCAGTGTCTGCGTGGTTGGGAGCCGATGTGCTGGGTTAATTTTCTTTCCAGGAGAGGCTCCCATCTGATAATGGACACTGTGTGCAGGACCTACACCTTTCTGTCCTGAAAACAGGACATTCCAGAGCTGTACAGTAAAGGATTTAATTTTTTTTAACCCATGGGGAATTCAGTGCACTGCTAAAACATACAGTCAGACGAATTCAGGTTCACTCGAGGAAAAAAGGTGGTTGTTTTTTTTTAAATCTACAAGATTTGGCTTTCTCAGGCCCTGTTCCTCTGCACAGCTTTCCAGGCCTCAGTGCCGTGGATGTGGATTTTACCTCTGTATTACAGAAAATGTGGCCAAGTAACTTCACAGGAGTCTCCAGCGTTTCAGGGGAGGCTGAACTCCGGGCTGACTGAAACACGGAAATGGTCTTTTTGCTTTAAGACTTTCCTGTTTGTACTTTGAGCCTTTGGGGATGGGGGAAAGCATGCTCAGCATTTTCTAAAAATTATCCTCCTGTAAAGTCTGTCAAACACAGAATCACCTCAGAACGTCACCATCGGGATGTTCCTCTCTGTCCCTCTTGGGTGTGCCGAAGGCCCCGTGTGACACACACAGCCTTGTGCAAACAGGAGCACCAAATAAAGACACTCATTTCAAGGCACTAAAAGCCCTTTGCCCCCTCTGTCCCCGTCCCCCTGCCCTGTGACAGCCCTAGCTGGTTCCTCTCAGGGGCTCTAATGCCTGTTTTGCAGATTAGAACCCGGGACACACACTGACACACCAGCGAATTGGAGGGCGCTGGCTTCCCTGCTCCAGATAAAACAGTGCAGGAAACTGCAACAATCCTGGTAGGAAAACAACAGGATACAGAACAGCAGTGCTTAAACTTGACTCCTGCCCCCTTCCCTGCTCCCTCGGGAAACCCTCCCTGGAGCTGGGGGGACAAACACAGGTGTGGGGCACTGCCAGAGCTGTGGCCAGCGTGGGGGCACTGCCGGGGCGTGTCGGGCAGGAAGGGCTGAAGCTGCACTCGAACACATCTGGCTGCAGGACGGAGCTGAGCGGAGCAGCAGCAGCTCGTGGCTGCCAGAAATCATGGAGCTTGTCCCACCCTCCTTAGCAGGGGCCTGGGGGTGGATCCATCATTTTCCAGCACTTCAGTTTTCCTGTTCTCTGAGATGTTTGTTTCCCTCCTCCTCTGCCCTGTACAAGAGCATTCTCAGCACCTCTTCAGCTCTCTTCCTGCTTCCGCACATAGTTCCACCAGCCCCTCCTGCCCTGTCTGCAGAAATACAATTCCCAGGATATATCCTGTACTGGCTACAGGGCGCCGTTCCTCCATTTTGAGAGATGCTTCCAGAAAATCCTCCCCCCCCCCCCGCCCTGTGTGTCTGCAGAGGGCAGGGTCTGACTGCAGGCACCGGCTCCGAGTGGAGACAGACCCTGCTGGCAAACACTGGCCTCCAGCACCACATTCCTTAAACAAGAGCTTTTTTGTTCAAAGATTCGGACACCACTTTTCCCCGATTCCTGTCTCTGCTCCTGAGGGGCTGCGTTCTGGAGTCACCGGCCTGGGATGTGACTGTGAGCACTGCATCAAGGCCTCTGAAAAGCAATAATAAAAGCCACAGGCAGCTGGTACAGCATTGCCTGGGCCACTAAGCAGGGATCAGCCACCAAAACAGCCTGAGTGACAGAAAAAAGTCATTTGAAACCATGTGGGAAAGCTGAAATCAGTGATGGGCAAATGTGTGACCTGGACAGGAAACGCTGCAGCGTCGCTGACACCTTGTCAGGGCCCTGGTGGTACCTGGAGGCACCTGACACCTGTGCCAGTGCTGTGGGGACAGATGGCCAGACTGTCCTCATGATCCCACGTGCAGGCTGTGACTCTCCCCGGGATGTTTTGTTCCCAGACAGGTGCTGGGATGAGCATGGAGCAGTTACAGGCACAGCCAGGCCGTGGGGACTGACTGTGCCCCCCGCCACTGTCGCTGTACCATGGTCGGTGACCTCACCCCGGGCGGCCATGCGGGAGTGTTGCTGCTTCACTCGCTGCCCCCGGGTTTGCCCCTAAGCGCCGGGCACGGGGTGATTCCGGTGTCTCCTGCTGTACGAGCGCCTTTGATCCTGCCGGTTCCGCCGCGTTTGGGTGCGCCGGGCTCGCAAATCACCCGGGAACGACGTGAAACAAGGACCGCTTTTGTTCCCGCTCCCCGCGCCCGGGGCCGGAGCCGCCGCCGCCGCCCGGTACCGGCAGGGGGCGCTCGGCCCCGGTACAGGCAGGGAGCGCTCGGTACAGGCAGGGAGCGCTCGGTACAGGCAGGGAGCGCTCGGTACCGGCAGGGGGCGCTCGGCCCCGGTACAGGCAGGGGGCGCTCGGTACCGGCAGGGAGCGCTCGGTACCGGCAGGGGGNCTCGGTACCGGCAGGGGGCGCTCGGCCCCGGTACAGGCAGGGGGCGCTCGGTACCGGCAGGGAGCGCTCGGTACCGGCAGGGGGCGCTCGGCCCCCGGTGCTCGGCCCGGCCCCCCCGCTCCCGGTCCCGGTCCCGGTCCCGCCGTGTCCTTGTTCCTGCCGGGAACCGCAGCCCCGCGGCAGGGCCGGCACCGGCGCGGCAGAGCAGGGAAGGGCCTCCCGGGCTGGGCTCGCTCCGGTGCAGCTCCGCCAGGACTGGATATCAAAGAGCTGAAGCCAACAGGCCACCGGGGCTGGCCAGGAGAGGGGGCAAACCTTGTTCGATTTAATTGTTAGAGAGTTTATTGCAGTTTTTTATATTTCTGAGCAGCCTTTTAAAGTTTAACTAAAATCACTGTGTGCCACAAGGCGTTTCTTCAACCGTCTACTAAACTAACCCAACTAA